GCATTTAATACAGAAAATACTTAAACAGATTACGCACATACCTTTTGCTTTGGTAGTTTTCACCCCCACCATCCTACGACACATGTTAAGCATCCACTGTTAATCCGTGCTGAATCATTGTTTGGTGTTCATCCCATCGGCTCTCATCTTAGTGCGCGGGCCCTTCGAACCCATCAGCATTGACCCAAAGCTTGATTGTTGTGGATTACCTCCAGACGTATACCCTTCACAATTTCTTGGGAACTCCGGGTGGGAATTGTCGCGAAATTGCAGTAGTTGGCCTACCTTGGTCAAGGCGTATAATGCACGCCGAAGAAACCGATTAAGGAGCATACGGTGGACATGGCCTAGCCGACGCAAGTGACTAAGATTTGTCAAACTCTCGAGAGAGGCTCCAGAAGATTTCTTGTCAAAACCAACTAGGGGACTTCAGCATTGCTTATCCCGTGTTCCCACCAGACGTGAGCAATGCCCCACTAGCACCAGTTGTTAAACACGGCCAAGCGTTTAATGTCTTCATTACGAATTGACTGTCTTTGATCCATACAAGAACACTGGCCTTCTCTTAATGTTACACACCCCACCTTTCACTAACAAGCTGATATCTGGCCGTCTCCACAGATGGTTGAGCCTCTAGTAAGCTACTCGGACCTTGCTGATACGCGAAGTAACTCCTTCAGTGATGTGACCACCAGAGATGACACAGCTACCAAGGTAAGTGAACTCATCCGCCACTTCCAGTGGCTGTTCGGAAATAGCTAAAACCGGAGGTGTGTCCTCCCAATCCTGCAACAGCACTTTGCAATTCGAAGGTTTAGAGTACATGCTGCAGCATGCACCGCTACGCACAAGGCTGTGCAGTAGTGTTGACACAGCCAATGCACCAGACCCTAGGAGAACTATGTCGTCTAAATACTCCAGCTTTGTCCGTCGGTCACCGGAAAGAACTTCCACTCCAGAATAGTCGAAAACAACCGAGTCATTCATGATCAGTACGACCAGAAAGTTGAAGAGGAAAGGAGGTATAGGACAACTCTGGCGAATCCAACTTGTCGTGAGGAAATCAGAAGATAATTTCTCGTAGACCCTTACACGACTTTGGGAATCACGGTAGGGGGACTTCAGAATAGAAAGTAGTTTAGCTGGCACGCCCTTCATGGATAAGCACTGCCACGAGCTGGCGTGGTCAGCAGAGTCGAAGGGGACTTAAAATTCAAGGAAAACCTCCATAGTCGGTTGTTGGTATGTGCGTCTATGCACTAAAACTTGGGGAAGAGTAAATATATGGTCGATACTACCATGACCAGGACAGAAGCCAGCCTTGTTTACAGTGAATCGGTCCTCACGGTGACCAGTAATTCGTCGAAGAATGACACCTGTGAGAAGTTTTGAAGTAATGGAAATAAGGCTAATGTTGCAATGTTTTCACACGAAGTATATTGACCCCTCTTGAAGATGGAGACGACAGCTGACAGTCGCCAGCCTGAAGGCACTTCTCCAGTGTCCCAAATTGTGTTAAAATGAAAAGTAAGTCCAGTCAACAGAGAGTCACCGCCATATTTCAGCAAAGATAGGGGAAGGTCATCGGTTCACGAAGCCTTGTTTCATTTTAGCACGGAAACGCATATCGAATCTCTTCCAAAGTGGAAGGCGTGATATCAACTTCTTAAGTCAGCTCAGATGATTCGGAAAGTGGCAGCCTTGCAGCAGGTCTGCTGAAATGCCCTTCACAATGTTCCGCCCAACGGGCTAGTCAACGACTCTGAGAATACATCAACAATCCACCTTTTACAACTATTGTCTCGTTAACTGATGACTTTCTCGAACCCGTGCTCCGCATGAGCTGGAATGGCACCCAACTGTTTATAAAAGAGCTGGTTTTCTCCATCTCACGAGAATTTGCAACCCATTAACGTTCCCGGTCAACTAGAAGACTCCTTGTAAGACGTCGTTTCAGGGAGTTACGGATACGCTGCAATTCAGTACCAATCGGAACCGTCTTACCCGCTTCCATCAAACTGATAGATGCCTCAGAGATCCATTCAAGGTTACGACATCTCAAATCGGGTGCACAGAAAGCATCAAAGGCATTCTTCATGGCACAGTTGGGACGATGCCAGTCAGTGTTCGGCTCACCAACCTCATTCCACACTGATAATCGGTGGGTCAGTTCGTTATGTTATGGTTGAACCGCATACTGCGAGTTCAAATTACAGGTAAGGAGTCTAGAATTTAGGCGCTTCTTTGAAGTGGGAAGCGTGAATGCCAAGAGTGCTGTGGCTATAGTATGGTCAGAATCCAGGCAGATACTCCAAATTGCCCGACAGTCTTGAAGTGATGTGCGCCACCTGTAGCTGATGGCAGTATGCTCAATTTGGGTACAGGTCGCTGAGGAATTTGGTAGAGGCCACATGACACGGTGTAAAGATTTGTGCTGGAAAACAGTGCTACTAATTGAAAGATTGTGATCGGCGTACAGTTGCAGGAATCGATCACCATTGTCTGTTCCGCGTGCACTGATTACTCCCAGGTGTTTTGGAGAGTCTGAAAGATGAACCACTTGGGCATTCAAGTCACGCGCAACAATCACGGTGTCAGTAGTCTTCGCCAGGCGGAGATGCGAGATGGAAGTAGAAATCATCCTCGGTACCTTCTGAACTGCATTCAGTAGAGCATAAACGGATGCGATGAAACAGCACCTCGTCTTTATACGGTGTTTATTAACCGCAATGTGGGTTCGAAGTCAAACCGCACACGTGCGGCTGTTCATCAGCATCCTCAGCATGTCCGTTAAGGGTGATACCAACACCGTACATATCTTGTGCCATTGACTCGGTATCACCAGAAGCGAGAAGTGTAGTCATTGTGGTCAACTTCAGAACCAGGGAGTCGAAGATTCGTCACAACGCTGTTATCCTGTGTGCATGTTTCGGCGACACGGCACACCTCAATACCAAGAGACAAATCATTTTACTTAAAGCACGACTTGAATTACAGTAAATCTTGACCAATCAATGCATTCGTTGATTTCGGCTTTGAACATGGCGCCAGTAACGGAAAGAAACATTTCTAAAGCAGGTGCGGAAAGCAACGATCCCACGAAACATTGGAAAATTAGGAAGATAGAAGAGGAAGAAAACAACCACAGACACTGAGAAGGTCAGGTGACACGACTTAAAAAGCACAAAACGAGCTGAAAGGGATTCATGAGTGATGAACGGTAGAGGGCCTGGGTCAAGGAGAACAGAGGACGTATTGTTCGATAAGCCAAGAAATGGGCTAGAAAGGTCATTGCCGATGCATCCAGAAACAATCCAGAACAGTGTCATACAACCGCAATTAAGAAAATCATAGCCTTGGGACAAGTTCAGGTTGATCAGAATGCGACTTACGGAAGCTAAGTTACGGGGTCAAACAGGCATGGAAGCTACACCGAGTTGGGACGGATCAAGGGGCGGATATGACAGGCAGTGAGTTGTCACGTATATTGTGTTGTGAGAGGGAAAAGTGGCCTATATATGTGCACATGCATGAGAGATTGGTTTAATCAGTGTTGCCTGTCACAAAAAATTATGCTTTGCTACCCCTTCTTTCTTGTCAAACTATGAGCCCGTTAAGTCACAATTCCAGCCTCACCTGATGAACCCAAGTAAATATCACGTTATAATTAATGGCAATACAATTTATTCTCACAGGCAGAAATAAAACTAGCTCACTCTGATTGGAGCTGTCTGAATGACAGTTGCTTTAGCGACATTTCAGTTCAGTTTACTTTGGTGCTCAACCCATCCTGCCGCCCAAGTGTGGTGACTTCAGTTACCAAAACACGCGTACCCATAGAAATAGATCAATTCCATGGGAAAAGATGAAATCCGATGAAGCGAACTCCATTTCAAGAAAGTGTGAGTAAATCGGGTTAGAAATGCTTTAAGGGAAGGTTAAACTTGATACATACTTAATGCAAGAGTACTAGCCACGAACATCTGGGCCTGTCCACTCAGAGGCGTATTAAATATTGCAACGGTTCTCACCAGTATGACTCAGCCTTTCGGCCACAGGTTGTTGTTTTTGCCGATTCCTCCTATAGGCACCTTTTTCCCCGTCTAACCAGGCATTATGTCCATAGAGCCATACCAAGAAGAAAAGCAATGGAGAACATGGGGTTTGATCACTCAAACGGTGGCCACTCTACCATCCTGGTACTGAGATTATTGCTTCTAACAACTATACCTGCTTCGTCAACAACTAGTCAACCAATGTATAGGCTAGAAATCTGCTTTTCCGGTGGATCCATCTCATCCAGATTTAGGTAGACAACCACAACACACGCGGAAGCGTTTCACTTGACACTCATCTATGACGGCACGCCGTTGTCACCCGCGGTTACGTGGATTTAGCCACTGCTTGGTCACAGAAGTGCCGTGATTTTGAATCTTACAGAAGTTGTGTGAGATGCCTTTTTGTTGTACCTCATGCAGCCGAAATACCTATCCTGTTGTTCTGCCTGAGTGGTTAAGTCTGCGTGTAAGGAATCTGTTCAAAGTACTTCAGAAATTCCTCTTGTATTTTGCCGACATCGGATTATTCTACTTAGTTAGACTCTGATCAAGGTCACTGCCTTGTTCCGGGAACATGGAATACATGCAGTTACGTACTCAAATAGAACACTGATTCGGTTTGAGGTATCTATCCTCAGTGAGATAGTCAACGCACGTCCGGAAAACGCTAGACGGCTGTTTAATCCTCTTTGGAAACGTCAGTAGTGCACACTTCATCTTTCACTTGTGGAGCTTAGGACCAGCAACCGTACTCTTTCGGGTCTACGGTTAAGATCACCTAGTCGATAGTAGTCATCCATCGTTGTCTGACGGTCCCAAGCACTGGTAAGAGTAAGGTCATTCCGAGAAGATATTTTAAAAGTTTGTCTACGAGTTACCAGCGGTCGCATGAACACACAGCGTAAGAGACAAGAAACCTGCATGCGAAGGCGCGAAACTCACCTTGGTCAATCGTCAGGTAGCTGTCAACACCATCAAAGGTTCTGATGAGATCATGTCTCAATTTGAAGAATTTCTTGCGGATTCTGTCGTTCGCGAACCAAAATTCTACTTGGATACTCACTTCCACCAAGGAAAAGCATTCGATCTGATGGGCGTAATCCGACTCATCCCGAACACCACCCAGTGTTTGGAAATCGACCACTTCTTTCGCAATGGCAGTGATGGTTTTTATGTTGGGCGCTTGTTTCCCACTGTGTTCACGTTTTACAACAGGCCAAGGCCATTTGGGGCCAGACCGGGTCTTTGTGTTTCGGGAAATTGGGTTGGATACCACCGTTGGCTCCAGTGCGGTTCCATGCTTGTCCATGCCTCCGTAGTGGAAACAAGTTATATTCCATTGAATCAGTGGTTGAGTTCTTCGCAAAAATCCGAACCAATTGTATGCGATTGCCGGGTCCACAACGTGATGTGCACGTATACAGTATGGTGAATTCCAGCATTCGATAAGATAAACTGCATAAAATAACACCATAAGAGCTGTGTTTATCATGACGTAGGTGTCCGGACAATGCATGCCGTCAGGTGGCACCATGTACAATGCAGTACTTAGTGTAGTTAGCTCCGAAGCATTGGCACGGGATTCATCAAGCATCCGATTGGGACCCAGTCTGCACGCTAACGCTCCCACAAGGCACACCAGAATAAGTAGCGTAAGGCTTACACAGCGCCACTCTCCTAAACAACACTTTAGGCACTCCGTTAAGGTTAACCATCTCGGTGAGACCTGTATGTTTGAAAAAGAAACGATGGGCGTTATGGTTTTATATAAACTGGTGATCCAAATGAATGCTGATTTTGAAATATACCACGAAAATATAAGTAAAACCCATGAGATTATGACGGTTGTGTCTTGCAGGGTCTTCCATGCAAGCAGCTGAGCGTTGCTAGCGTTTATAGAGTAGCATCAGAAGGAATATAGAGAGAAAGCTACTCGTGTTGGTTGGGTGTAACTCCGTCTGGTGCATCTTGGTTCAATTAAAGCAAACGCAGTCGCTTCCATTCATGTTCGATTCGACAACAAGCATCTCGGTCCTGCTTTATCTATTTACTCCCGGTGCAGCAGTTTCCACCGATTAATCATTGTAGTTGACATGACCAACTGAAAAATTTGGTTAGTTTATCCATAGATAGAGTCATACAATCACCATAGTCCGCCACACGTCGCACGACAGCTTCAAGTCATGCGGATGGGTGACCAGCAGGTGTTGCATTTAAAACCCTGAAATTCGAAACAAAAACCGTTGAATATTTGGTCAGCCGCTTTGACCATTGGAGCATGATGAGTGGCCTTGAGCCGGGATTTAGCTTGCTGACTGCGACACTAATCCATCACTGCCATGTAAATCTTTGCTGTAAAGAGGACAAAGGCAAGCCTTTCTTCATCAAGCCCCCAGCTACCTTGACGGGACCATAAACCACTAGGACGCACTGGCGTAGGTGGCTGATCGTCAGTTGGTTTGGCCTAGACTCGAAATACACCAGGTTTGTGCGCACTGCTACAGCAGTGGCTTGAAGAGAGTTCAGTCAGCGAACTGCGACTTGGTACAGTAGATGCAGTAGCGTCAAGTGGTGAGTTTAAGTGCAATCTGCTCAGGGTTTCAATGAGGAGAATCCAGCTGTTAATTATACTGTTCGAGTGGTTTCATGGTAGCAGTGTTTGGAGTGAGCTTAGGAGAACCCAACGCAACTTTCGCCGAGTCATGCAATCTACGAAACGGGACCTCAGCGGAACAACGATCACTGTGTTTCAGTTCCTCTTACATGATGTACCCTGTAGCAGGTCAGAGCATTACCATGTCTCGATCCATGAGGTAAGGAGGTCGTTGTAGCTCGGTTAGACGGTCATTGTTGCGTCCCCCTTTTATCTTCCCTTTTCTTCTAGTGTCGTCTCTTACTAGGTGGTTGTGATATAATCATCTAGCTACCTACGAAATATTTGCTTTGCCTTGCTGCTCTCCAGATCTATTACGACCAACGAACGCATTGCACACGGAAACCATCGGAAGCCTCCCCGGACGCATACTAGACTCCCCAAGAGGAGAAGCCAGGACCAAATTTGGTCTTTCTGTTCATTGTACTCATCATTCGGGAAACGATGGATATAAGTTAGTTAATTTTCTTCTCACAAGTTATCCAAGTCAGGCAACATCACACACGTCCGGAAAAGTACTTGACGGTAGTTTTGTCCTCTTGAGATTAGTCAGTATTGCCCATCCCTCATTAGATTGTTTAAAATGTTAACTTCCATAGATCAGAATGATGTTGTGCCCCGATCAACGTGCGAAAGCCAAATTTACCGAGTTTATTGGTAACTACATTATGCATTGAGACGATCACAATGTCATTATTGCCGAGATATGACTGCCAAATGCACACGATTCACTGCAACACGACCCTATGAGGGATCCAAAATGGTTATGTCGTTAACATTGTATGGCAAGTAGAAGTGGATGCTAACTTGATGCATTCAAATGGTCCAAGCAACCCGATTTTGTGTGGTTTTCATGCGGCCACCCCATCGGACAGGGGGTCTCGTGTACCAGTTCGCAGCCTTTTGAGGAAGAGCCTGCACCCTGATTCGTGGCTTGACTGACCTCTAAACATGTGTACACAAAACAAGGACCGGGATTTAGAAGATATGAGTTGTGTTTAGTTAATGGCGCTGCATTAAGTAGGAGTAATTGAGTAGGTGTTGTCACAAAGTACACATGTATACCCGTTTGACACGTCAAACCATAAATGACAAGATGACAACGTACGTATCCACCCATCTCGTGAATCAAGGAGTGTTTTGCTCCCTGACATAGGTGAGTGCTTCGTTTTGTGGATATGCAAGGCACCCAAACTCTTCCATCATGATAGAACGACTACAGCTGTACCCACGGACGCCGCGGATTTTTGTTCTACCGTGCTGGATTCTACTTTTGCGTCAGGATTACTGTGTTATAAGTGTTTTATCTGTGTGAATTGCGCATCAAGACGCTTCTTTTGGTGTATGTTTCCACCTGTGCAAGTTTGGTGGATATTCACAGTTCAATTTCGGAGATCTCAGTAATTGGCCCAACCGCCATCTGTTTCCGCCATCTTGGATTAGTTCTACAGCAGTCTAACCTTTGTCAGTCAGACCCCCAGCTTGACCGACAGTGTTTGGATTCAGCCTACTAGTGTCGACATTGCAACGTACGACATCCGCAGCACGGACAGTTACAATGGCACGTACTGCTTGCCCACGGAAAGCTAAGTGCAAAGCTTCTGAATTAAGGGTTAGTTGTAGCGCAGACAACTGTGTTAAACTTACGCGTTTTGGGATAGATTGCAGAAACTGTCGAAAATATTTTCATCCTCGATGTGCTCGCCTTACGCTTAAGCAGCTAAAAAACTTAATATTACGGCTGATTCCCTGGTTCTGCATTGAGTGTACGTCCATTTCACTCCTCAGATGTATAACTGTGTTGGCACGGAAGTGTGATAGGCTGACAAAGATTGTGTAGCGTGCAGCAGATGTGAAATTTGTCCTACAGGAACCAGACAAATCACTGCTTCCAACTCATTACTCAAGAGCAAGCTCCAATCCAGAATCGTGTAGCCTGGCCGAAAATAAGAGTAATCATCAAGCGTAAGCCACCCCAGCACTATTGGCTGCTCATAACGATGCGTTCACCACACATATTTCACCCGAACTACTCGCTGCATAGAAAATCGTTAAAGGGCCGACAACATACGTGTCCGCTGTTGCTACTCATATGAGAGAGGCACTTCCTATTGTAAACCCGCCAGCTGCCGAACGCATTAATACTAAAAACACCATCATGGGACTCACGACCGCATGAGCTGTCCAACCGGAAATGCAACCACTGGTCTCTTCAAAAAGGGCATGAAACCATACCCGAATTCTCTGACTGTTATATGCTCTAATGTAAGTGAATCCGGAGCGAAATCCATAAAAGATAAGATACTAGACAACATAAAACAGTGGGACTCGATGTGTCAACTAATAGGGGTTCAAGCTAAACCAGTCAGTATGACGCGCCTCGTCCGTGACCCAAACTCCGTACACTACGGTGAACCGCGGTTACCCCCGGTAACACTTTAGTCTGGTAATGATGCAGAGGCAGTTCTCTTGTCAGCCACTCGCCTCCGTACCGCCACATGCACTGTTCGCATTTTACCAGATGTTCCCTGAAGCGAACGCCAGAAACGCAAACAAAATCCGTATGTCTTCCGTAAACAACAAGATGCAAAGTATACCCTTGTTCACGGTATTCCCGAGCTCCAGACTTTAAACGAGCTAGAGGTCAAAGCGTAGGACTGGGATGAATAGCGTTTTATTCCTTAAGTGCTCTCACTCGGAAACGTAATCGCTAATTCGACATCAAGCTTACCACTATCAGCTAACTACAAAGGGTGTGGTCCCCGAGTGATGAAAGTATTATTGCTCTCCCAACTGATGCGGAACATGTGATCAAAACGTGGCACCAAAATCCCAAAATGCTGCCATCCGAAATACGTTTAAAGGCGATAGACACCAGGCCACAAATAGATAAAGTAACACTGTGCGGAAAATTAAGCAATGTAATTCCGTCACCGTGTACCTTAGAAGGAAGACAATGTCAAAACCTATCGACCGCTGAAGGAGGACAGGATAGCCACTCTCTTGCTGGTTTTGAGAACTATACAACATCCTGAACTGGTCCTAGGGCCTGCCTCATGAGTCCTACAATAAACGGCCGGCAGCCGACCCTGCAAATATCGGCATAGACCCTCTTCGGAAATCAGCATCCATTAAGACGCTTCTAACCATCGATGCCCTCACCTGCTTGTATACCAATGCACAAGATCTTCTCATCAAGCCAGCCGAACTTCGTTTGCGTCCGGTCTCCACGCCTTGGAACCTAGTTAAGGTCACCGAAACATGGCTCCATACGGAGATCACGGATGCTGAGATTGCTCTACCCGGCATGACTTCCATACAAAACGATCGACCTAGCAGAGGAGGCGGAGTGCTTCTGTATTATTGATCCGACTTGCTCGTTGATATCATTGAAGTCCCAGAAAGGCAAGTCGACCAATCTCTTTGGTGTCGTATGCACTTAAGACGGGGTAAAGTGTGTTTATTAGCAACAGTTTACCGCCCTCCAATGTCCACCTTGGAAATGGATCAGTGCCTAGGTTCTGCGACGAAGCGAGTCCTGACACAACCACACGGTCCCGTCCTTCTAGTGGGTGACTTCAATCTGCACGCAATAGAAATCTCAGCATCGCACAACGAACAATCCAAGGCTGACTTGTAAGAGGTGATCGCAGATGTACCTTTGTACAACCATGTTACCTCTTCCACTCGATTCCGAAAGGGTGACACACCCTCTGTTTTGGACCTTCTTCTGACCAACGAGGAACTAATGGTCGACACCATGACCATAGATGCACCAGTTGGTCGTAGTGATCAAGCGATGTTGCTCTTTCGTTACATCTGTTACTCGGAGATTATCAGTGAGAAAAAAGTGGAAACCTATGTCGTTACACATTAGGATATATTGTAAAACCTCATTCAAGAGACTGAATGGTCCTTCCTGGCCAAGAACCCGCCCAATGTCGCTTGGATGGTGTTTGTCACCCAATTCACCGAAGTAGTGACAAATGCTTCAGAAATTATGGGCTTTCGCCCGAAGCTAGTGAACTCGTTCCTGAGGAGCCGTACTAGAAAATGCATGGCCTGAAGGGATT